TTCTAGTATGGAACGGTAGTTTTGAGTTGCTTGGAAGCATTGAGGGTGTCTTGGTGTTGGTATGTTTGATGGTTTTGTCCATTTCATTCATGTCCATGATTTTAGTTGCTTGTGCTGATCACTTTGGTCATCCAAGAAGACGGTGACGTTGGGGTCGCGGTGGTGGTTTCGGCGGAGGAGATGGAGATGGAGGAGGAGGATGTGGCGGCGGCGGTGGTGGGGTGGTGATAATATATATATATATATATATATATATATATATATATATATATATATATATATATATATATATATATATATATATATATATATATATATATATAGAAATAGGATCATATGAGACCACCCCCCTTATGTGAGAACCCTATTATATGTGAGGACATATTACAACCGTTGGATCAATTTCATCCAACGGTCATAATACAACCCGGTAAAACAAAGCTCATTTATTTCAAATTCATTTCCTGCGTTTTTTCTCTCTCCTCCTTCTTCCTTTCGCTCAATTTTCTCTCTCCTCCTTCAATATTACGGTTTTCTACTCTGTTGCTCTTTGATTTTTCATCACAAGTTCTTCAATCTTCATCAATTCTTCGTTAATGTGAGTCTATTGTTTATACATTTGCTGTTTTTCAATTAATTTTATGTTACATTCATTGTTTATTTTCGTTTTGATTTTCGTTTAATTTGTTTTGATTATCGTTTTTTTGTTGATTATAGTTTTATTTTCGTTTTCTTGAGTAATTATCAAGTTAATTTTAGTTTTATTTGGCTGAATTTAGGTCTTACTAAGTGTCCTTGCTTTGATTTTGTTGCGATTTTTGCTTGATTTTCGTTTTCCTTTTCGTTTAATTTGTTCTGATTTTAGGTCATTAATTTTAGGTTACTTTGTGTCGATTATCTTTTAGTTTTTTTTTGTTGATTTTAGTTTTTTTCGTTTTTTTGAGTAATTATCAAGTTATTTTTAGTTTTATTTTGTCTGAATTTAGGTTTTTACAAGTCTTCTTGCTTTGGTTGTGTATTTGAGAAATTATGTTGTGGTTTTGTTGCGAGTTTTGTTGCTCTATTGTTTTGTAGAAACTTTACAAGAGCTTCGTGCAAACATTAAGCAGTTGTTTGGAGGGAAAGGGGGGAGGGGGGGGGGGGTGGGTGGGAAGTCAGACCGTGGAGACACTCAATTTTATGACTGCTATGATTGATGACACTCAATTAAACTAATCCTTTAATTGCTTTCGGATCGAAGCTTGTATGTATGTTAAATGTGCTTTGTTTTTTATAATGTCGGGGCTTGGATTTATGGGGCTATAGGCTATTAAAATCTACTCTAGCAACAGTGGATGTTGTATATAACTGTTTTTGTCAATGGCAGGACTATGTATGCTTAATGCTTTAGTTAGGATCCTTAACTACTGCTACACTTGAAGTACAAAAGAAGGTCTTAAAGATCATAGAGAGCACTTCCTAAGCATGCCTTATCATAAATCTAAATTGATTAGAGTTTATAGATGGATATATACGAGTTGTTAGTATAGCTCGAAAGAAAACAAAGTTTGGAATGACATTCTAGCAACATGTGTGTAAATTTATAAGATAATGGTTATTTATTCTTTTGGGATTTGATTCAAAATAGCTGAACTCTGAACCAGTTCCCCAAACCGCTAAATTTCCTTTTCTTTTGGTTTGGTTGCTGATTTTTCATCCTTGCCTGCTGTTGCTACATTTGTGTTTGAAGTACCAACGTTCTGTTCTTTGTGCAAAATTTCTGGACCAGAACGGTATTATGGAGAACTCAGTTTACGAAACTTGCTTATTGCTGCTACATTTGTGTTTGATGTACCACGTTCTGTTTGCATGAGCTCTTGACTTGAACAGTATGTAGAAGAACTGAGTTTGCAAAACCTGACCTGAACCTATTTGATGTTAGCGTTTGGCTTATAAGCTAGAACTATCGACAAACCAGCAGATAACTACGAATCAACCAAAATTTTTTTGGTCAATTCGTTTGACAGCTCAAGTAGCTCCAATTTTTTTTATATAATAGCTGAAATTATGGTTTTCGTAGTGCCAAAGCACTCTAGATCTCATTGACAATATTTGTCTGATTTGGTAGCTGTTCTTTAGCTGTGTGTAAAATAAAATAGAGAGAATTATTTTATCAGGAGTAGAAGCGAAAGCAAGCTAGTCAGCCACCAACTACAGAGAACAATGGCATCATTTCAACTATCCGTTGCCTGCATTATTATCTTTTGACCATTCCAAGCATAGTTCTTTTTTTGTTGATAGCCTCACATATATTTTTCTTTAATAAATAAATATTTCACCACTAAAATTAATGATTGTATAAAATTATTGGTCAAAAGTCGTCTTAATTTCTGTTAAATTATTACTAGTATATCTTTATATCCCATTTCATATAATAACAATAAATAATACACCAAGGTATATAGAAGTATTATTATTATTATGATTATTATAAAGTTGATTGACAAAGTCGTGTTGGATAATACTCGTACTACAACAAGTAAAACTCAGTTTTCAGTGAGTTAGGTTTTTCTTTTTGAAGTATGTGGTACCCTGGAATAGCTTAAAGGAGCAAATCGGCAATGACTCAGTCATATGGCCTTATATCCTTCGTTCTGCTAAACTGTGTGTTTGAGTCACTAGTGACCATGGCATAAGCCTCTGCATCAAAACAGAAAAAAACACCACAGACAAAATACAACCAGAAAAAACAGAAAACCAATAAGGAAACAAACAGAAACTAGCTTGCATTCCTAAGTTGAAACAACCATTTGACTTGGGCTCTTGTCCATCTTCTGTTTATTAGTTACTGGCTTCTGTTTATAGATGCAACATTGTAGATTAAGTTACCTTACATTTTTTTTTGGTTTTTTTTATAACAGTGCTATGGATTCTTCAGTTGCTACTGATATTAACAATGCTAAAGATTATACATATGTACATTTGGAAAGGATAATGTACGTATTTTGTTATTTCCTTATTTTATGTTGTCTTATCAAATGCTTGTTGATTTAATGAATTATTAAAGAAATGCTTGCTAATTTGACATATGAGCAAATAACTATATGCTTATTTTCGAAATGAGCAAAAAACTGTTTGCTCATTTCCCAAATGAGCAAAAAACTGATTGCTCATTTCCCAAATGAGCAACTAACTATTTGCTCATTTCATAAATGAACATCTATGTGTTTGCTCATTTCACAAATGAACATCTATGTTTTTGCTCATTTGTGTAAAATTAGCAACTAAATATTTGCTCATTTGACAAATGAGCAACTAACTATTTGCTCATTTGTTAAATTAGCAACTAAGTATTTGCTCATTTGACAAATGAGCAACTATCTATTTTGCTTATTTTATAAATAAGTAACAAATTATTTGCTCATTTGACAAATGAGCAAACTAATGTTTGCTCATTTCACAAATGAGCAAACTAATGTTTGCTCATTTCACAAATGAGCAACTAACTATTTGTTCATTTGAGAAATGAGCATCTATGTTTTTCCTTATTCGTTAAATCTATGTGATATTTGACTTTTTTTATGATATTGTATCAGCAGGAATTCTATTGAAAAGGAGTCTGGTGCGAATGCCGGTTCATCAGGAGCGGCTACTGTCGATGCCGGTTCATCAGGGGCTGCTGACGAGGCTGGTTCACCAGGGGTTGCTGCCGAGGCTGGTTCACCAGGGGTTGCTGCCGAGGCTGGTTCATCAGGGGTGCTGCCGAGGCAGGTTCATCAGGGGCTGTTGCCGAGGCAGGTTCATCAGGGGCTCTAGTGGCAGAGGAGAAGATCAGTGAAAAGAAGAAAAAGAAAATCAAAGTAGTTGCTACAAAGGGTAAAGCAAAAAAGGTTGAAAAAAGAGTGAAAGAAAAGCATAATGTGAAGTTTGAGGATCCAGACAGTGAAGATGCTGTTGATGAAGTGCAGAAATCAAAATATGTTGTTTATGGGACGTTGCGTAATAGGATGTCACCTTCATCTGTTGTTAATGTTTTTAAGGAGTTTTCTGAAGATCAGTTGACTGCCATTAGAGCTATAGGATTTGGGTCTTTGGAGTTTTTGAAAGTGTCCCAACTGCCTTTGCAATTGGGTTTTTGGTTAGTCAAGCACTTTGATGCTCATAGTTGTACGTTGAATATTCCTGATTCCGATCCTTTCAAAATTACGGAACAACATGTACATGATGTCCTAGGGCTGCCAGCTGGAGGCATGGAGATGGATGCTAATCTTTTTTCAAAGGATGATAAAGTTATTAACCAGTGGAAAAAACAGTTCCCAAAGAACTCATTATCTGTGAACATTGGGGAACTTTCAATGTACTTGAAGAACCATAAATCAGTTGGGCCAATGTTCAAACGCAATTTCGTAGTTCTTTGTGTTTCCACTTTAATGTCAGGTAGTTTTTTCATTTTCATATTTCTTATTTTAATTTCATTTTGTTCATTTTAATTTCATTTTGCTCATTTTAGTTTCATTTTGCTCATTTTAGTTTTTGTTTGATCATATTTTTTTAATTTTGTTATTTTATGTTAGGAGGACAAAACAAGAATGTTAATCATGACGTTCTCACATATTTGAGTAATGTTGCTAAAATCAAGGATTTAAATTGGTCGAAGTTTATCCTTGATTCTCTTGTGAAGGCGAAGATCAAATAGGATGAGCTTCCTACTCGCTACTTTCCAGGATCTTTATTATTTCTTATGGTATGTTTTTATGTGTTGCATTTTATTGTTTGAAAAATAGCAGGATCACCTGCAACCCCCTTCCTCCCTTAAACAAGAACACACACACACACACACTTACACACACACATACACATACACATATACAAGCACACAGACACACATATATGCACACACACACTGACACTGACATACACACACAGACACACACAGACACACACAGAGATACACACACACACACAGACAGATGCACATACATACATGCACTCACAAACTATAATAGAATATGAAATCAGAATTGAAATGTGTGGGTAGGTTTCAGTAAGGGCTGTTTATGGTATTTTCTAAGTTTTTATTTTTATTTTTATGCATTAACTGTTATTTATTTGTTTAATTTTAATGTACTAATATTTTCTATCTTACTTGTTTGTAGCTTTTATATGTTGATCATTTTGTCATTGAGGAAGTTAGAGCGAAACGAGAAACTCCTGTTCTAAAAGGCTGGACAACGAATATGTTGTCTAGCCGTGAGAAATTGGAAATTTTTAAGGGGAGGCTTGGAATTTTCGATAAAAATCTGAAGGTTGTTGGTCCTTCTAGCAGCAAACAACCAAAAATGGTATTTCACTTTCAATCAATACTTAGCTTTTTTGCCTTTTAGAATTTAATTGAATTGGACCAAATCTTGTTAGATTTCATTGCAAACGATCCCAACTTATTCTGACTTTTTTTTTTTTTTTTTTTTTTTTTGCATTCAGGAAACATCTGTTCCAACTGTTCCACAAACTAATGAAGATGTTGAAGTAGATCCAAAGAAGGTATTTATATGATTTTTAATGTAGATCTAATATTAATTTATTTTGTTGTTTAATGACATCCATTCTAACTCAATGTTCTGAATTCTATTATGTGAAGTTTGGTTGGCAAAATTGGGTTGTGGAGTATCAGCAACAGTTGAATAATGATGCAATGTGGCACTCTATTATGGCGCATCAATGGAGTAGAGAAATCAGCAAAAAAATTAATTGCTCATTTGACAAATGAGCAAATATTTTACCATTGATTTTTTATTTATGTTTTTTTTATTTAGTCTTTTGTTTTATATTTATCTTATTTATGTATGTTTTTTTTTCTAGAAATGCTTAATGGATCTTGCAGCGTCTTCGACTAAGCTGGTGTTGGCATACATGGACTTTCATGAAAAACATGAACTAGCTGTGAACCATTTTCCTCACAATGAGAAAATACGAAAGCTGAAGGAAGATGCAATGGGTATTTGTGACGAGCAAAGATTGAGTTCTCAAGCTATGCCAGAAAATCATAGCTTTTCTTTTAGCCAAGACGATGAGTATTGGCAAGATCCAGCCGTCATTGAAGCTTGGGATAGATTTTCCAAGATTTCTGCTAATGAGAAGAATGTTGAATCCTCAGTCTTTGCTAGGGCTGATTGTCCAACCGTAACAGGAGCCATTGATGTAACAAAGATTGCGGCTGAAAGTGTTCAGATAGCAAATAGTCTTTCTGAAAATGAAGGTCTTGCTATTGTAGTTGAAACTGAAAAAGTTGTAGGAGGTTCAAGTATTCGATCTGGTTTGAGATCTTCAGTTAAAAAAGGATTTGGAACTCCTACTTTCAGTTTAGGATTTGATGATCCGGAGAACTCCCCAACTATTGTACAACCTTTAGTAGCTGTTGATGCTGATGTTCCTGTACGACCTTCAGTTGCTGCCGATGCTGATGTTCCTTGTGCTGTAGGTGGTGCTGATGTTCCTGTTTTGAAGAAGCGTAAAGTTCAACCATCAATGCTGCTTAGATCACCTTTTAAGGCACGGATTATCAACATTTACACTACATTATCAGAAGTTCAGAAAACTGTCTTGGAAGCTCTGTTTATTGATGATAAAAATCGTTTGTAAGTATTTTTTTTATTATAGAATTTGCTATCTTGTATACTAATTCATATTTGCTTTAGTGATATTAACTTTTTTAATTCCTTTATGCAATGATCTAGTCTTTTTATCCAAAGTTAATGGAGTGCATGATGTTGAAGTCATGAGATTTCAACTTGAAAAGCTGTATACTCACCTTAAAATTGATTCAGAAATCATTAATGCTTGGTGTAGTATTTTGAATTATAATGAGCAATTTAGAGACTCAAGTTCTCCTGCTCGTTTCTTTTTTAATGTTACTGCTACTGTAAGTTCATATTCTTTAATTTATTTTATTTTATTGAAGTATTTTACAGTATTCCAGTTGTATTAATTTTTTTTTAAACATGTAGGAGTGTCTTGTTCATTATGAGATTGATTCTGTTAGTTATCGGAATACTACGTTTCGTGAGGTTGCTCAGTAGTTATACAGCCAAAGTGTTGTCCCAAAGAAGGACATTCAACTTTTCTTCTTCCCAGTTTACGAAATAGGTCATTATTTCTTGGTATGTTTCAACACTACCACAGAGCATGGTAATATTGAGGTTATTGATTATAGTGAAGATTCCGGAGATCATACACAGCTTTTAAAACATTTGGTACGGTTTAAAAGTTAATTTCTATTAACATTATGTTTGCTTATTTCAATAAAATTATTAGATTTTAAAAATATCTATTATCTTTTCTCATTTGACATGTTTATTTTTAGAGAAGTGCATTTTGCAATTTTATGCAATATGAAGGAAATGTACAGAGCTCTGTGTTGTCAAGTGATATCAAGCGCATGGAGCATGTTACACTTGATTCTCCTTGGAAGTCTACAGATAATAATCATTTGCACTGTGGAATTGCATAGATGAGGATTATGGAAACGTACATGGGTTTGTCAAAGTGGGCTTCAGGTTTGAAGAAGAATAATGTAAGTCTTTCATCTTATATGAATTGTCCTTAGATACTTGTTTGCTGGATTTTACAAGGTGTACAATTTTTACTTGTTAATTTCTAATACTCTCTGAGTTTATAAGAATATGGATATGTAAAGTGCAAATTTGAATGATAAAGAAAATTCATGATAATAAAAGGATATTAGTATGTTTATATGCACCACCAAAATATTTTTTTTTATTATTCTTATATAGAAATTTAAATAAATCTTGCTCATTTGTCAAATGAGCAGCCAATAATTTGCTCATATTTCAAATGAGCAAGCAATTATTTGACTGAATTAATTTGAATTCTGTTTATTGTTTGAAAAATAGCAGGATCACCTGCAACCCCCTTCCTCCCTTAAACAAGAACACACACACACACTTACACACACATATACACATAAATACACATACACACGCACACAGATACACACACAGACACACACATAGATACACACACAGACACACACACATAGATACACACACAAACAGATGCACATATACACACACTGACACAGACACACACACACAGACACACACACAGAAACACATGCACATACTTAAACTGGCATCAACTAGTGCTCTAGGCTGTGGATTATGCATCCTTGATAAGTGAAATCTTCCAAGCTTCCATCTGTTTATGCATAGCAGAAAAGGTAGCACACTAAGGCAGCTTCCTACTCTGGTTTTTTTTTTTTTTTTTTTTTTTTTTTTTTTTTTTTTTTTTTTTTTTTCTTGAAGTAGAGGCTTTGCACCAACATTTCAATAATTAAAAAAACAGGACAAAATTTCCACAACTTCTAATAGAATTCTGTTTATGTCCAATATAAGTAGCAGATGGTTCTGAGTGACCTTGCAGACCAATCATCCGCCTTCCCTTTTCCAACTCAGATGAAACTTGGACTATAAACTGTAGAGCAATTGAACCAAAATTCAGTGAACCCAGTGAACCTTTAGCAAGATTTCAAGCTACTTTTCTTTTTAAATAAATGTAAAGGAACCAGAATTTGGGTTTCTTATTACTTATTCTATTCTTCTTCTACGTGCTTCGTGCTTCACCCTGTTTTATACATTTATATTTTTTAAAATTTTCTTGTTTTATTTTTTCTTTCCTATTTCTTACAGGTGATAATCATGGAAAAACTTCGTGTGAAGTACAACTTGGAAATAATTTCAAGCGAAATAAACACAATTCAATCCGTTAAAGAAATTCCTCAAAAGAAGAAAAAGCTAAAGAAAGTTTCTCCTAAGACTGAAGAAGAAAAAGTTGAAGAACAAAAGGGTGAAGAAGAAAAAGCTTAAGATGAAAAGGCTACTTGTTAGTGTTACCTCAATATTTTGCTTGGTGTAGTATTGATTAAGGTGTTGACATAGCTTTCTAATTTTAGGGAAGTAGAGAAACAATGATTTAATCAACTTGTAAATTGTTATTTTTTGAATGATGTAAAAATGGTGACGTTTGATTATGGTGACTTTTGTGTTTACCTGAAATACTTTGTCATTTATACCTACCGTTTTTTTGAACTATTTGTTGATTTACAAATGAGCAACGAACTATTTGAGCAAATAAACATTTGCTTATTTGCTTATTTGAGCAAATAAACAAAGAACAATTATTTGCTCAAGGGTAGAGCAAATTATTCTTTGCTCATTTGTCAAATGAGCAACTAACTATTTGCTCAATTGACAAATGAGCAAAGAATAATTAACTCATTTGAAAAATAAACAAAGAACAAATTACTCATTTGACAAATGAGCAAAGAGTAATTTGCTCATTTAACAAATGAGCGAAGAAATGCTTGTTTATTTAATGAATGGTTAAAAATAAATTTTGCTTATTTGACAAATGAGCAACTAACTATTTGCTCATTTGACAAATGAGCAACTAACTATTTGCTCATTTGCAAAATGAGCAAAAAATTGATTGTTCATTTTCCAAATGAGTAAATAATTGATTCTGTTAAGAAATATAAAATCAACAGAATATTAACAAAATTTAAAACACAAATTTCCAGGATCTTTATTATTTCTTATGGTATTTTTTTATGTGTTGCATTTTATTGTTTGAAAAATAGCAGGATCACCTGCAACCCCCTTCCTCCCTTAAACAAGAACACACACACACACTTACACACATATATACACATAAATACACATACACACGCACACAGACACACATATATGCATTCACACACACTGACACAGACACACACAAACAGATACACACATAGATACACACAGATACACACACACACACAGATACACACACAGACACACACACAGACAGATGCACATACACACACACTGACACAGACACACACTGACACAAACACACACAGAAACAGATGCACATACTTACACGCACTCACAACCTGTAATACAATCTGAAATCAGATTTTGTAATTAGATTCAGAATTAGATTTTGAAATTAATTTATGGAATCGGAATTATGATCAGCTACTGAATTGAAATGTTTAATATATAATGAGGAGATGTGCCAAAAATATTAAATCTTATATTTATGTAAAGTTATCATTACACTTTTTTTGGACAATTTCTAATATCATGGTGACTCAATTCACCAAAACCTCTACATAATCTCTTCTTTTTTTGGTTTTGTTCTACAGTTTTTTCTTTTTCTCCCTTCAGCCTTTTTGCACTTCTACCTCTTGTTTCAACATTTGGCACATCAATCCCAGCCCCTTTCTCTTTTGAAGTCTCTTCATTTGATACATGAACTCCAGTCCCTTTATTCTTTGAAATTTTTGGAGGTTTGACAATTATTTCAGTTGGCACACTAGCTCCAATCAATAGCTCAATGTCTTGTGCTTTGTTGTTTGCACTTCCTGTTGTTTCATTATTTATTGCAATCCTCTTAGCTTCCAAATCCTTTCTTATTCCTTGAAGATTTATCACAAGATCTTGAATATCTTCATCATTTCCTTCTGCCAAACTTACACAAGTGTGTATCTCTGACCATAAGTCATTTAACAATTTTTTCTTGTCAATTAAATTAGCACATTGCTCCAATAGGTTTCCACCCAAGTCAAAAATTGGTTTTTTTAGTGCCATAGTAGTCCATTTGTGTAGCATATACTGCTCAGGAATGGTTTCAAACCTTTTTGCTTTCCAAACCCAAATCATATGTCTGCATGGAATACCTTGTCTATAAAACAACTTGCAAGAACATGTGGTGTCATAGTTAGTTGGATTAAACACAACATCAAATGTTCTAATTCGATTTCCTTCACTTACTTTTGCAACTTCCAATCCATTTTCTTTCTTCAATTCATCAACACCACAAGAAAAACAAGCAATTTCAACCTCATATTGAAATTCATAAAAGACAGAGTTAGTATATAAATGCGAGGCATGCCTTTCTATCCCTAGTGGTGTTTTGCACTCAGGATATTTGTGCTTTGAATCATTATCATTCTGACCTTGAGTGTGTCTCTGGGCATCAATTGTAGCTTCATATCTCAAGTAAAACTCAACAAGTGACACATGAGGATTGATAAAGGAGCAGAAAAAGTTGTTTTCGCTTTCGGATCTTGATGTTGTACGCATTATTCCTCCAAGGAACACATCTCTGAAATACGCCGGAATCCACTTGTTCCTTATCTTGTACATATAACCTAACCACTCATGTTCTTCCAAGTGGTATTCAACCATCACCTTGTTCCACCTTTCTTCAAACTCAGCAGGTTCAATTTCAAGATGCCAAACACAAGCACATAATTTTTTTAGGAAACCAGTTTCTTCTTGCATGATTGATTTCTCCACCTTATCTGGTAACTTTTTCATTATGTGCCACATACAGAACCGATGTTCAGTCTTGTTAAACGCACTTTTAACAGCAATTTTCATTGCTGGATCTTGATCTGTAATCATACAATTCGGTTCATTTCCACCCATTGCTTTAAGAAATGATCTGAACAACCACTCAAATGACACTATATCTTCCTTCGCTATGAAACCAGCAGCAAAAGTAATGCAGCTCTTATGATGGTCAACCCCTGTAAATGGAGTAAACACCATGTTGTACCTGTTTACACAAACAGATTAAATTTTAAATGATCAAATAATTACACACACACATACATACACACACATGTACTTAGACACAGACACAGACACGCACACACACACACATACATACACGCACTCACAATCTGTAATAGAATCTGAAATCAGATTATGAAATCAGAATTGTCATCAGCTACTGAAATAATTCAATGCTCATTTGACAAATGAGCAAATAATTGATTGCTCATTTGTCAAATGAGCTTATAACTCAATGCTAATTTGTGAAATGAGCAAATTATTGAATGCTCATTTCTGAAATGAGCAAATAAGTCAATGCTCATTTGTGAAATAAGCAAACAGTTATACTAAGTTCATTTAAAACAAAGTTATTAATTTAAGCTATAGTTATAACATAAAAATGAATTGTGATTTTTATGAATTACCTATTGGTTTGGTATGTGGTATCAAAGGATACCATATCACCAAAAAGAGCGTAACTCTTTTTACAAAGGGGGTCAGCCCATAATGCTCTACAAAGGCAATAATCTTCATCCATCTCAAAATCAAAGAAAAAAGCACTCCACATTAGCTTTTTGTTGGTAAAGTTATCCACGAACATTTGAGCATCACTCCCTTGAATGTATGCTTTCAAATCTCTATGAAATTTTTTGAAATCTTGCTTAGATGCACCGATGTTATCATATCCTCCAACAATTTCCTTCATCATTCGAAAAGTTGCAACATGACCAATATTCACCTATTTAAAGAACAAAACAATTTGTCAAATGAGCAAATAATTTAATGCTCATTTTTCAAATGAGCATACTACTTTTATTAGAACATACAGAGAATTCATGAAACATAAGAGACTTTTAAAGTCGTACCTTAGAATTATTCACAATTATTTTTTTTGTGCAATATGTTCATTTTTCTTCCTTCTTTTTGGAAGAGATTGCAACTAGGTGTATAAAGTGCATGAGTATGTCCCTCATGAAATTGTGACACTATGAATTTGTTATCATCACAATGCTTTATGACAATATGTGCCTTGCACCCAACACGAGTAACGAGTCTCTTCCTTTTGATTGAAGTTTTTTCTTCATTGCTTTCTCCTTCGTTGTTATTTGAATCTTTTTCAACAGTAGGCTTTCTTTTCTCTTTGTATCCTTCTTTATTGCATAAGATATACTGTGATTTCAATTCTTTGCTTCTTCTTTGCCTTTTAGTTGTAGACTTTCTTGTGTTGAATCCAGCAGCAAATGCGTATCTTTTATAAAATTCAAGGCCCTCTTCAAGATTATTAAACTTCATCCCTATAGCTGGTTTCAACTCATTGGGGCATATTGGAAGCCATTCTTTTGTTCCTCCAGGAGTGAGCAAAGGTGCTACTTTAGGAGAAACTACTATTGTAGGAGTAGTTGCCACATTTGTGATGGTACTAGAATGACTGTCAAGTTCTTCGTTGTTGCTCATCATTTCTAACATTAAATATAATAGAAATAACAGGTTAGTAACAATTCCATAAAATAGTTTAAGGAAGCTCATTAAAAATCTCATATGTGTTGCTGAATCATGTTTTTAACCATACTAATTACTACTTACAGCAGAACTCTTACACTTACTCACACACACACACACACACACACACACACAAAATAATTTCAGAATCTAAAATAGATCTAAAATCAGATTCAGAATCAGAATTGCAAACAGAAAGATGAGGGGGGAGGGGGGAATAGGTTTGTATAAGGAAGTGTAAGAAGGGAGTGTGGTTGGTGTGCATGAAACATACCAAGAAGAAGGGGGGTGGGGCTTGTGTGCAGGCAAGAAAACCAAGGAACTCAATGCTTTGATAGCATATTTGCCTACAAAAACCATACATTCTTAGACACACACACACACACACAGTAATTTCAGATTATCATAGCACACAGAAGTGCTCAATCTAAGAAACACAACCACTTGCTCATTTGATAAATGAGCAATTAAATATTTTCTCATTAGCTACAGCTACCTCTTTCATTTTCATTGCTTCTGCAACTTAAATATTTGGATTTGCTCAATTTAATTATGTTTGCTCATTATATGTTTTTTTATATTATTACAAATATTTAGGTTTGCTCATTTTATATTCATTTGCTCATTTTAAATTTGATTGCAAATTTTCAATTTCTATCAAATTAATCAAACCTAAATTGTTGATTTAATTCAAAAAATTTCAAAGAAGTAAATTCAATCAAATCCATAATTGATGCAATTAAACAAGCAATTCAATGAGAACAGAACAAACCACAAAAATCGAAAATTATCATGCAATTAACATGCAATTCATAACCTGGCGATTGATGCAATTAAATATGCAAATTAATAAGAACAGAACAAACCAAAAAATCAAAAATTATCATCCAATTAACATTCAATTCAATAACCTGGCGAATTTAATTTGTAGCAGCGATTGCAATCGCGATTAGTAATATAGCGCAAGGCGAGCAAGGTCGGTGTGAACTTGCTTATGATTACTTTGATGAAGCAATTGATGAAGCAATCTGAAGCAATGAGAAACAGCGTAACTGATTAGGCGCCATTGATGAAGCTCTTGGTGGAGAGAGAAGTTAGTTAGCTAGGTGGAGAGAGATGACAGTTAGGTGTGATTTTAGGAGTTTTATGTGATTAATCACATGCGTTGGATTGAATACAATTTGATGGCTGAGATTGGTTCTCACATATAGGATGTGTTCTCACATAGAAGGTGGTTCTCACCGGATCCCAACCCTATATATATATATATATATATATATATATATATATATATATATATATTTTTTTTTTTTTTTTTTTTTTTTTTATATATATATATATATATATTATTCATCTATTATGTAAAGAATATTGAATAGTTCATTATTGGTTGTGTGATTCTTTTGTTTTCTTTCCCCATTCAATTATTTTGGTGTTGTATGTGGCATTGCAAGCTGTAATTTGTTAAGAGATTTCTCATCATATAATAATATTTATGCATAGACTTGGTGTTGTATCTATCTTTCCAATTTCCATAATCTAATTTAATAATTTTAATTTATCAATTTGTTTAATTGCTTGTCTATAACTACTTCAATTCGTATGTCACAATGTGTTTGGCCTGGACCCAATCAAAGAGTACCATGCAATGTAATATCTAGAGCTTCAATTGCAAAACTAGGCCAATTGTCAATTATATTGACATGAGCTCGTGACAAGAAGAGTATCTCCTCAAGTTTTATACTGTAGGTTAATTATGATCTCTCATATTCTCCAATATAGGAAGTTTAGATTGAAAAAAAAGTATCAAAAAAACTCAAATGTGCATACAAAATCTAAGTTGTTTACTCATAAGTAAGTCGTCTTGAGTAGTTTAACATTAATGTGGATTTAAAACAATATTAATTATTCAAAGATGTAAATTAGAAATACATATGAAAGTGAGGGATATCTCAAGTGGTTAGAGCTCGTCTCTCGGTTCCAAGAGATCTTAGGATCGATTCTCATCACCCGCCTTTGTAAAATATGGACGGAGTAACACACACCTAAATGTCTTAAGCCCCTTACAATATTAAGGGTGTGTTTTTTTCACCTTACTAGGTTAAGTCCCGTGCCATGCACGGTAATTTTTAATAATTATTTCATATTAACACTACATTTAGATATAAAATAAAAATTTGTCTAAAATATTATGCTGAATTTATTAAAGAGCCTGGTAGCCAATATATTTTCTTTAAAACTACCTTTGGGTACACATACCTCTGTGTACACCTGAGTGTATATAAAAGATGATAATTGGCCACTGGCAAGACATGATTTTAAAATACGCATTTGTTAATATGCATATATGTTTGTATATATTTTATTTCACTAATAAATTGCATTGGTATAATTTATTAACCAAATGAATTTCTTAAAATGTAGGACATTACAAATTATGTTGAGAATGATTTTTTTTTTTTGCGTAAATTTAAAGTTGTTAATTTTTTTGTGGAAAGATACATCAAATCTTTTATTTTAAGTAATTTTTTTAATATTTGATATTCGAATTACTTTCTAGAGCTTCTAATATATAATTAAATAAAAATAATTAAAAAATAGAATCCTTGTTGTAATATTTGACACAAATTCTATAAAAAAATCTAATTTATTTTTTACTTATGTTTATATAGTTTACAATATATTATGGAAATATACATCAAATCTTTTATAATCTTTTATATATGTATTAACTAGATGAAGTCCATGATGCACGGTTTATTTGTATTTTTCAAATAAAATATTTTACTAAATATATATTTATCTAATAATTAAACTTTGTGATATTCGCTTGCTTACTACTTGAATTTTTCCATTATAAAGTGAATTATTAACTTTTTTTTTTCTCATATTTAGATAAAATTCGTAATATAAATAGATAATATTTTATTTTACAAAGTTTCGTATGTGGCTGGTCACATTGTGTAGTCGGGATTACTTGGTCAGGTTTTACTTGGTTGATCAAGGGTTACTCAATCGATTAGGGGTTATTCGGTCAGTGTTGGGTGTGCCTCATCAGGCCACACGATATGACCAGCCACACAAAAAACGCGCTAATTTTATTTTTATAATTAATATAAATTTTTTATCTAAAATAAATTGCAATTCTTTTTTTTCATTAGCTAAAATATAACATTTTCCTATGTGACGCTCTAAAATTAATCTTACGTAGCATAATCCTATTGTAGCGTTTTAAAATTATTAATCCTACGTGGAGCTTTTTTATTATAATTTTACGTAGCGCTTCAAAAAAGCCTAATCTTATGTGGCATAATCTGATTGTAGCGTTTTAAAAATATTAATTGCACGGTTTATTTTTTTAAAACAAATATTTTTTTGTTATTTTATTCGTTGTACGTATAATATCATTTAATATTTTTATTTAAAAATAAATTGTTCATTTCCTCTCATTCATTATATATTTATATAAAACTTCTAAACTCAAAAAATAATATTTAACATTTAATTAATTTAAACTTTAAAATCTCATTCCTCAATTTTGCTTATATAGCATTCGAATTATTTTATTCCAAAAGAAATTATAAATCTCTTATTTAATTGGCTATAACTAAAATGTATAATCCTACATGGTGCGTTAAGAAAATTTAATCCTACGTGGCTCTCTAAAAACTCGGGAAAAAACTCTCCTTTATATATATATATATATATATATATAATATATATATATATATATATATATATAATATATATATATATATATATATATATATATATATATATATATTAGATCTGTTATCTTTTATTTATGTATTGTATAAGATTTGTTTCCAAAATATTTTATTCTTTAAAAATAAAAAAACTAAGGGCACACCACAGAAGATGACATATGTTATTACTGGTGTGTCTTTTAATATATAGTCATTGATTGATTGGACATGAATTTATATGAATTTTTCTGAACTTATTAGACCTTATTGAACTCATTAGACCTTATTGAACTTATTAGAACTTATTTGACCTTATTAAAACTTATTGGACTTTATTATACCTTATTATTAGATTTGATTAGAGCTTATTGGAACTTATTAAATCTTATTGAACTTATTAGACCTTAATTATTAAACTTATTAGGTCTTATTAAACTTATTGGATCTTAATATAACTTATCTGAATTTAATAGACCTGAAACTTATTTTTATAAGGTGAGAGAACAAGCCCTAAATCTTACTTCTTCTTTTTGTTAAACACAATTTATTAATGTAACCCATTTTTTTTTAATCAACCAAGCTTGTTAAATCAGCACAAACAGTCAAAATTTGTTGATTATTAATTTTTCAAGGAGATGACTATGTAAATTTTTTCTATACGTTACCATTAATATATCAAGAACGAATACTAATAAAGAAATAAATAAATTGTAAAATTTGTATATGATGAAAGGTAACTTTTTTTTTTTTTTATTTTTAGGGAACAGGTAAATGTGTTATAGTTGGACTAAATTGCTAGAAATGATATCAAAAAAAAAAATATTATTGCTAGAAATAATTTAGATAATCAAATTGACAGGATCAACTTACACTTAATTACAGACCTCACAACATATTGCATATTTCAATCCTAGCTTTCTAGTCATGCTACTGTACGCAAAGTGAAGCCATGCATAAACAATGCGATGAATCATATGGCGAAGCAATACCATTGACATATCGTTTTATGGATCTTGTCTTTGAACTACTCAACTTCGACGATTTTTTTTAAAGATCTAAACATAAGTTATTTATACTTTAGAGATCTAAACATAAGTTATTTATACTTAAGCTTGACCCGACACAATATTAAATCACCTCTATAATAGATCAATCAATTAATTTCTACCAAACTCATTATATCAGGCTAACTGTAGTCTGTAAATAATTAATTAACATAGTTGATTAAAATTTTATGGGTGATACTCAAGA